TGCCAATTTGGTGAATAAAAGGAATTAATCTATTTTTTAATTTATTTCTTTCAGCACCAGTGAAATTGAAATACATTTAATTTTTTTATTATGAAATGTTAGGAATATGAGCATAGATAACAATATAATGAACATTCATGTATCCAAAAGTAAGCTTAAGAAAAAAAGTTACAGATACAATTCTAGCCTTCAATGTGTTCTTCCTGGGTGCATTTCTACTTTCCTCTCCCCAGAGGTAATCACTGGCTAGAATTGATTAGTCCCATGCAATTCTTTTTATATTTTTATTTTTATACTTTTATTATGCAACTTTGTGTATTCAGTATTATAGTATTGATATCCCAGTAGGATATGTGTCCTACTGCAACTTTTAAAAAGCCCAGTATTATATATATATATACATATTTTTTTTTGCTGTTTAGTTATGTTGATTTGGGCTTCCCATGTGGCACTAGTGGTGAAGAACTTGCCTGCCAATGCAGGGGAAAAAAGAGATGCAGGTTTGATCCCTGGGTCAGGAAGATCTCCTGGAGAAGGGCATGGCTACCCACTCCAGCATTCTTGTCTGGAGAATCCCATGGACAGAGAAGCCTGGAGGGCTTACAATCCATAGTGTCACGAAGAATTGGATACAAGTGAAGCAACTTAACATGCATGCATTCATGAAGCTCTTGTTCAGTAATTTTCACAGATTTATGTAAGTCTATTACATAAATATATGAAATGTAAGTGTTGATGGATATTCAAGTGGTTTTCATTTTCATTATAAGCAAAAAATGCCAAACTGAACATTTTAATACAAATTTCCTATGCATATGTGAGAGTGTCTCCAAAGAATATCCTTAGAAAGAAAGTGCTGGGTCATAAGATGCTTACATTGTCAACCTTATAGATACTTTCATATAGATTTCCAAAGTGACTTTTTTGATTTACAGTCTCACAGGTATTGTATAAGTATTCTATAGTTCTTATGTCCATGATAAGTAGCTTCAGCTGTGTCCGACTCTTTGCCATCCCATGGACTGTAGCCTGCCAGGCCAGGCTACTCTGTCCATCGATTCTCTAGACAGGAATACTGGAGTGGATTGCCATACCCTTCCTCCTGGGGGGGTCTTCCCAACCCAGGGCTTGAACCCGTGTCTCCTGTATCTCCTGCATTGCAGGAGGATTCTTTACCCACTGAGCCATCTGGGAGGCCAGTACAGTTCTTACAGTTCCTCCATATTCTAGGCAATCATTGGCATTATCAAACTACATTTTTGGTTAATCTGAGGGGTGTGAAAGCATATCTCATTATGACTTTGATTTGTGCTTCTGTTTTTAGTGGGGCTGAGCATCTTTGATAGATTTAAATGGCATTTTCTCTTCTGTAAATGCCTTTTATGTCTTTTACACATATATATACTAGACTATCTTTTTCTTAACAATTTATGATAGCTTTTTACATATTCTTATTAACATTTTCTTGGTTATACGTGTTGCAAAAAACTTTCAGCTTGGGGTCATCTTTTAACTTGGTTCGTTGGGTCTTTGTATACATTTTAAAATTTTAATGTATTTGAATGTAATAGTCGTTTCCTTTATTTGTTTATTTTCTATTTTAAATTGGAGGATAATTGCTTTACAATGTTGTATTGTTTTTGCCATTCAACAACATGGATCAGTCATAAGTATACATATGTGCGCTCCCTCCTGAGTCCCCCTTCCACCCCCCACCCCTCATCCTACCTCTCTAGGTTGTCACAGAGCCCTGGACTGGGCTCCCTGTGTTATTTAATCTTTTCCTTTATGAACTATTATGGTTATGTCTTACCTTTCAGTATCTTAATGTCATAAAATGTCATTTCCCCCTCAAAACTTTCAAAACAGTTATGTTTTTCATATAAAATTGCTCAATGGAATTTATTTTTTAATATGGTATCTGAGGTAAAGGTTTTAATATTTTTTTCTACAACCAATAATCTCAGATTCATTTATCAAATAATCTATTCTCTTTCCATTGCTACACACTGCAACATCTCTCATATAATTTCCATATATGTAAGGGTATGTTTCTGGGTTCCAGATACTCTTTCATTGGCTTTTTGAACAGATTAGCTCTTACAACGTAATAACAGTCAACACATTGCTTCATATACCTTGCATTAGGACACCAGGGTGACAGGATGAGTGAAGTCTGAAGTCCAAATCCTGCCTCTGTGCACCCTCATGCAGAACTGTGTCTGCCTGGAAGGAGGTGCACATTTTTCTAATTCACAGGAAGACACTGTGAGGCGCTTTTTCCTCTCTGGGAAACTGATAAAGGTTGTTAGACTGCCTGAGTCAATGTCTAATTGGGCAATTCCTCTTTGTCCTTTTTCAGAAGTGTCTCTCCTGTTCTAGGCCTGTCCGTTTCATTGAAAAAAAAAAAAAAATCTTGCTATCTTGCTTAGATTTTCATTAGTCTTGCACTGTTTTTTAATTACTCTGTGGGATAATTGGCATCTTTTTGGTAGTTAATCTACCCATTAATTGATATGGCCTATTCACTTATTTATACCTTGTTAATAATGCCTTTTAATATAGCTTAATAATTTCTTCATGAAGGTTTTAAAAATATTTTTGAAATGTATTCCCGGTTCTCTCATTTTTATTATTGTACACTCATATACACAGAAAATTACATTTTATAAATATGTATTACAATTTTGTATAATTATGAATATACTTTTCTTTTTCTACTTTTCTTATATTTATTGCCCATTCACAGTGAATTTCTGGCTCAAAACTTTAGTCCATTTTTCTTCTGGGGTACCTGCAGAGTGTCATTTCCCCCCCACTGATTTGTAATAACTTTTAAAAGATTAAGTCTAATTGTTTTTGTCATATGTATTACAATATTTTTTGTTCAGTTTGCCATTTTTTAGTTTTATGTTGTTTTCTTTGCAGAAAACTTGAATTTTTATGGAGTCACATATATCAATCTGTAGTTTCTTAGTTTTTGTTTCCTCATACCAAGATTAAATAACTGCTAATTTATATTCTATTTTTAGTTACTTTCATTAACTTTTTAATCCAGCTGGAATTTGTTTTGGTAATTTGATGCAATTAGCAACGCCATGACTTGATTAAAATGGTAGAGTGTAAAGAACCTTCAGTTTGAGGTTAAGAGATCTACCTGCATTTTAAGTCCTGACTCAATTTCCTAATCCTGTGACACCAACAATGCTTCCCTTAGCGACTGGACTCTAAATCTCCATTTCCTCACCAGTAAAAGAAGGGTAAGTAGATGTCTTACCCATTTCAAAATTGTCTTCAGAACTGGGTAACAGAAGTGAAATAAAAAGATTTAAATTGTGATGTACTAACTTCCAGTTCAATCTTCTTCTTTGTGAATGACCTCACCCCTATTTCAGGACAGATCTGAAGGCAATAGCTCATTTCTGTCCAGCCTTGTCTTTCTTTTTTCTTGCTCAGGTTTCTCTTCTTGAAAAACACATTACTATAATTATTTTTTTTCAAACACTTTAGTAATTTTGACTCCCAACAGAACAATGTTTAGGTTTGTATCTGTCACCTGTTCATATCATTTACCCCGTCTTTGTTTCTCTTTAGTTTTAATTGCAATGAGAATCCATTACTTTTTGGTGTGCCCCAATTTTCAGAATCTTACCTAGTGCAAACTCAAATTTTTAAAAGCTAATTTTCGTGGCCTTTTGGCCAACAGAGCCTCAGTTAACAGGAACAATGTTTTTATTTCCTTTCCTACAAACGAGTGGTAGCAACCATAGAAAAGCACATTTTGGTTGTTTAACTATGTCCATCCTTGGGGGGGAGATTCTTCATCTCCCAATAGGGGGAACTCCAAAGAGAACGTTTTCCTAAAAGGGGCCAACTGGGCGGCGTTCTCTTTTCCCAAGGCCCCGATTTCTATTCTTGGATCTGGAGATCAGCGGCAGCTTTTTTATTCTTCCTAGTTCCCAGAGGTTCCGCGGGCTGCAGGAGACCAGGCTGGCGGGCCAGGGGCTGGCCCGGGGTGAGGACCGCACGCCTCCCCGGCCTCTGCAGTGCCCGGGGCCTGGGCATTCGGCGGAGCGCGCGGAGTCGGTTTCTTCCTGCGCGACTCCGGGCCCCAGCACCGGGGCGGGCGGGACCCGGTCCCGGGAGGCTGCGCCCGCCCAGGGTCTCGTCTGGGCCGCGCGGGGGACACGGGCGCGGCCCCGCCACCCCGGGCCGCTCTCGCTGAGTCGTGCGCACCCGGCAAGGTTCTGCGCTGGGCCGCACCTCGGCCTGCTCCCCTGCAGGCCTCGGGGTGTTGGCCTTGCGTGGGGGAGGAGGACGCTGGGGAGGAGGGCTCCGAGAGAGGGCGGGAGCCGCCGCCTTCGCATAAACAGGCGGGCGTGGGTGCTGATGCGGCCGGCTGGGAGCGCTGGCTACGGCCGGTGAGCTGGGCACGTCTCCTCCTTCCCGGAGCCGCCGGCCTTAGTGCGGGAGGGGCGGCCGGCTTGGAGCAGGGTCGGTCATGGCCAGTGGCAGCAGCCAGGGGTGCGAGGAGGACCAGGAATCTCTGCAGAAGTTGATAGTTAGGCTGAACAATGTCCAGGAAGGAAAACAGATAGAGACGCTGGTTCAAACCCTGGAGGATATGCTGGTGTTCACTTACGCCGATCACGGTAATCTTTTGTCGGGAAACTCTTCCTTACCGCCCGCACCCCCCTCTCCCCGCCACCGCTTCCCCCGGCCTTTTAAACAAACTTTCTCCTCCCAACTTTGTGGCCGCACAAACCTGCACTCTTGAGTCGAAAGCTCTCTACTCCTTTGGGCAGAAAAGAGCTGACAATTCTAGGAAGGTCTTGCGCTCGCTTCTTCTGCGTTCTCCCTCCTTTTCAGACTTAAAAGGGGGTGCCATGAATCGTGACTTTGCGCCTTTTCCTTACCCCTTTCTTTTCCAGCCTCCAAGTTATTTCAAGACAAAAATGTCCAGGTGCCTCTGTTGATCGTCTTGGACTCATATATGAGAGTCGCTAGTGTGCAGCAGGTAAAAGAGTTGCTTTCATTTCGCCCATTTCCCCTTCTTTGGAAGCAGGCGTTTTTCTAATGATACTTTGTACCCAGAGTTCTGGGTTATTTCTGAGATTTGTGCTGACAAACCACTGTCTGTGGTTTTAAGATGGAAGCATTGTTAAGTCATTATCAGATGTTAACGGTGTAAGAGGGCCTATTCTGTCCTCCTTAATTATCATTAAGAAGTAACTTTATAGAGTTGACAGAATATGGATGGTGATGGGAGGGGAATAATAATGGGTTGAGGTTTGGTTTCTTTCATTGGCTAGATGTGTTCCTAAGTGTTTAAATGAAATTATTCTAAGATTCTTCCCAATGTACAGCATGTTCTAGAGATGACACCATTGTGAATAGTTTGGGAAAGAGGAGTAATGAACAGTAATATAATTAATAATTAAATTAATGAATTGAAGCTACTGGCACACTCTCATAGGTTTAAGGTTTTCTTTTTTAAACTTGAAGACAGATTTCTAACCTTCTTTAGTTGTAGGACACCTTGTATTATCTAAAGAGAGTAATGTTTTAGGATTCCCTTGTAAGTTTAAATCTGTACTTCTCAACTATTTTCATATAAGATGAATGTAAAAGTGAAACTTTTAGAACCTGTATCATAGGGAACCCAGAAATTTGTTGAATATCTCAGATATATTTGAAAAGGAGCCTTAAGATGAAAATTAAGTCTGATGCACCATCAAAACAAAATTACTGCTTAAGGTTAACTTCCTTTGTAGATTTTGAGATTTGGGGAACTGACATTAGTTTTTTCATTTGCACGTTAGATTCTAAAGGGAAAGAGAATAGAACTTTGAACTCTATTGAGGTGCAGTATTTCTTAATATATACTTGAGACGCTAGACAGATGTAAGAATTATCTGAATCTCTGTCTGTATCAGTCTATCTTATGCTTATCTCTGTATCCAGCTATGTCTAGCTTGGGTGAACCATATACCTAGCTTCTTTTATATGAAGATATATATATGTGTGATAAATGGTTGCTTTTATTTTTCTTCAACTGAAGTATATCCCATCTGCCTATTGATTTTCAGGCTGTTAGCAAATAAGATCAAGAAAAAAATGGAGGCCTGATAAAGACACTATTCTTTTAACACCCAGTGTCTGAAATTTTGCTTATGGAACATGATTCACTCTCCAGCACTGGCCTTTTGTGCTTGCTGCTCTCCACCCACATCATCCTTCTTACTTGCCTCTGCTTTGGTGTTCAAAATTGCCTTGTTTGTCAGACTCCATTCCTTGGATTCTGTTCTTGGTAGAGTCTCCTCTGCCAGGTACAGCTCTGAACAGCTGGGCCCTGGGAGGGCTTTGTCTGCAGAGGAGGTAGTGCTAGACTTGGGAATCCAGGGAAGCCTGCAACATACCCACCTCCTAATTCTTCGTTTTAGAAACTGCCATCCCAGACACGTTTGTTGGGGGTAGTTATGAATGTCATTCAATATCCTTGCCCAGTAGGGACCAAAGACAAAGTAAGAAAATAAGGAATTGTCTTTTGATTTGGTGATTTAATGGAATAGTATTACTAGTTGTAGCACAGTATATTAACCTGCAAAGGGCATTATGTATGTGTATATATTATTTGATTCTTGCTGAAATCTTACTTGCTGAAATCTTACTTCCCTCTCAGAAATCTCACTGAATCTTTTTTTCTCAGAGGAAGTGGCTCATTTAGGATCACAGAGCTAGTGACAGAGTCAGGACTCAAGTTTCACACACCTTCAAAGTCTTTTTTCGTAATATAGTAGGTGCTGAATTCACAAGTTTTTCGTATAAGTAAAAAGTAGAGTGGTTTGGTACAAATACTGTGGCCATGCTATGCCTACTGACATTATTGATTTAAATTATCATTGATCTTATCAAAGGGTTATTTTAATACTCTACTTAAAAGGAAATATTTTCTTCTTTGAATTTATGCATATTACTGGTGAAATTAATATAGATATACTTTAAAGCTTTATACATTGAATCAGCTGAAAGTACTGAAGTAAAAGCACTTGATGAATTTAGGGAATTTAACATGACATTCCTGACTCTGAATTTTTATTTTCAATGTGTTTTCATGCTTTATTAGTTCTCCTTAATACATCACAGTCTTTAGACAGTTGGTAGTTAGGCTATTTGTCTTATAAATATCTTTTCCTGCAAGTCATCTGAACATTTCTCTGTGTTCTTCAGTTTTATATTACTTTATTCACACAGTTTCAATCTTTGGTGTGAGTGAAATATATGCAAGTGACTAAAACTTTCTTTAAACCCTAGATGTTTCCCATTGTGCATTAATTAGATAATTTGAGTTTACAGAATAATTATAATGAAGTGAAACTACCAATTGTATTACAACTGTCCAAGATGGGAGGTTTCTCTTTTTGAAAGATAAGCTTTTAATTGAATACATTAGTGGATCAGTTGTTACCTCCACTTTGCAGCTAGCGATTCTGTTTAATCATAGAAGCTCAGTTGCTTCAGTCTTTTTGCAAACCAATTTTACTGATGCTGCTATTTCACCAACCAAAGCAAAACAGGTTTTCTTCTTGAGTCAGCCATGCAGGTACAGAGATGAGTATAGCATCCTGTGTGATTTATGATTTATTTCCCACCAGAAACTGTTCCAAATGTTATTTTTGAAATACTTAGATGAAAAAATCTTGATATATTTTATAAAAGCACAGAAATAGCCAGTTTCTATGGCATCTGGATTGTCAATATCTGTTCAGCTTACGTGGAGGAGGATGTCTACTCACATATAAGTAAAAATAGCTGTCAAAAATTGCTTCCTTTTCAAGGAATTTGAAATTGTGTAAGAGGAAGTAATGACAGAGTAAAGCAATTCATGCTTAATCCAGAAAAGATCTAGAAATGGTATTTGTAAAGAACTCTTGTATAATCACTTTTATCATATTAAATACCCCTTCTTTATTCCTGTAAACAATTAGGAAACGTGTGCCATTATTCCTCTTCAGACACATAGAAGTTTCTCCCCTGGTCATTCAACTCTGTGCCACTCAGCTCCAATTACACATTCAGTCTCATTTAGCAATGGGCCCCTCTCTGGCAGCCTCCTCTCTATTTAGCATCTTACTTCTCTTCCTCACAGCTCATCAGTTTTAGAAGTTTCCATTTCACTGTTTTAAGTGACCACATTTATAGTTCTTTTGAAATCTAACTCAAATCACACTTTTTCTGTATTACATTCTTCCCTGAGCAAATCTTCCTGACAGTGAATCCAGCTTTCAAAATTCATATGATATTGGTATTTATCACACATCATAGTTAGGCACTTCTCCATTAATCTATAGAGCTGAATATCTATGCATCTTCTTTTTCTGACCATATCGAGTGTAGTTTTGTAACATAGTAGGAAGAATTGAAAAGTCCTTGAATTTGGAGAGGAATATATGACAGGAAGAGTGAGTTAATTTCGTTTGGAATTAAAATATCATTAATATTTAAAAATGTATTTTTTAGAAGTAAAGAGCAACTTATTCAATCTGGCATCACTTGTAAAAGTGAACTGAATGAAGGTATATTTAAAATGCATCAGTAAAATCATAATTCATTTGGAAATGTGAAAGACTTTAAGGACCTCATCAACTTGACCTCATCAAGTCATATTTAGGTACACTGAAGAAGTCTAGAGGAGTCCGATGAGAAGTTCTACCTACTCTCCATCTCATAGTGCCTTTCTCTTTTATGTGTGAAAGATGTTACAGTCATCAGACAGTGCTGCTTCTCTCCCCATTTGTCTTAGCTTTATTATCTGGGGAGCAGTCTTTCCTGATAATTAACACTTGGCTTTCAAAATTTCTGGCTTTTCCTAAGCTTCCATTCCAAACTACTTCATTTTTGCTTTTAATTAAAGTCCCAAATATTTAAAATAAATTATGTGAGGTGGATGTGCCTTAAAAAGTGCAAAGCCCTGAGACTAACCTTTCCTGTATGTCACAGTCTTGGTATGTCCTCTAAAACTATTTTTTAAGTTTTATTTTATTGCTTTTTATTTAGACAATAGACAATTGATTAAATTGTAGATGAATGCTTATGAATTCAAATGGATAAATTTTTTTTTTTTTTTACTTTTTAATAGTAGAATTGACACAAACCACTGGCCTCCCAGGTGGCGCTAGTGGTAAAGAATCCTACCACCAGTGCAGGAGACTGAAGAGATGTGGGTTCAATCCTTGGGTTGGGATGATCCCTGGAGGAAGGCACAGCAACCCACTGTGCCTTCACTGTGCAACACTCCAGTGTTCTTGCCTGGAGAATCCCATGGACAGAGGAGCCTGGTGGCCACAGTCCATAGGGTTGCACCAAGTAGGACGTGACTGAAGCGACTTAGCACACACACAGGACATAAACCGCTACTTCTTCAAAACAAAAATATGGAAACTAAAAAGTTCTCTAAATAGTAATTTAGAAATGTATGCTTTACTGTCTTTAAAAAGCACATTTATGTATATTCATATGTATATATTTAATGAGCTTAAACTGCAGCTTTTAAAATGAAGAAAAAGGAGGAAATTTTCTTTCAGCACATCTGCAGCCAAATCTTGATAGCTATTTACTAGCTATGTTATTGCAGTTTTCAACATAATGACTTCTTAAATGAGACTACTTCTTTAGCCATAATTAGTTAAGAAATTTTTTTTTGTGTTTCCAGGAAAGTCCATTTTGGATAACTTTGGATAACTTTTGAATAACTTTTTTGTTTCTCGACATTTAATAAAATATCTTCTGTCTTCAAGTTTGGGTGTTCTTTATACTTTCTTTACCTCAGAAAAGTGAATACTATGATTTCCAAAGATATATTTCTGTGGAAAACATAATTAATGCAAAACTAAAATTTACATCTCTATTAGTTTTAACCGTGGCTGCAAATTTAGACAAATAAGAACTGTTTGTTCATAGGCGAGTATACCTATGCTTGTATATTTTTCCATCTTTGATAAATATGAGTTGCCGTTTTTCAGTTTCTAGCATTAAAGAGTATGCTTTGCAAAGAGACTTTTACAATTAATAGATACTCTCATCTCCAAACTAACCCCTGAAATTCTATGTCAGTAATAAAGAATACAGCATTTAATGAAGAATTAGGCAAAATATGCCTGCAATTAATAGTTGTAATGTTATGTGTTCCTTGGTTTGGATGAGAATTTCCAAAATCCCCAAAGCTTTGTAATCTGTAACTTTAGGGAGACTTGGAAAACTTATTTAGTCATATTTTAGTACAAACCGAATGTTCCAGTTAACTTATGTGAATGTTTCTACAGGAAGTTTCTTTTCATTCATTTATTTGCTCACTCATCATTTATTCATCTTCTGTTCATCAGGTATTTATTACATCCCTCCTTTAGGTCAGAAGCAGTGTGAACAATATAGACACACCCTTCTCTACTCTTCTCTATAGTGGAGTATATTAGATCATTTCCAGCCAATAGTTATTATAAAACATATCTCCTTATATTCACGGACTTTCCCCCCTCAAAGGCTTACAGTACTAAAGGAGAAATCTCTTGTGTGGTAATGAAGTCAGGAATAGTGGGAATGATTCAAGAAGAGGTAGGGGCAGCATAGGTAGGAGGAGAATTAACAGAGTTGAAGGAGAGAGTCTCTCAATTCCTTAACTCATCGCTAAAGACCATGTGCCAAGTTTCTTGAATCTAAGTGAAGCCATTGAAACTCTATTTTCTAACAACAGAAAGCCATGCAGCATTGGGTAGGAATAAACTATAGATTGTATATTTTAAAATTAATCAGCCCTGAGTAGGAATAGACTACAGACTGTATATTTTAAAATTAATAACTCAGGGGCTCAAATTGAATGTATTTGAACTAACTGAATACTATTGATATACTAGGTTCACTTTCTGTAATATCAATTTCTCTTTTAAAAATAGTAAAAAAATCAATAATTTAAATATTCAAATGATTTTTAATTTTTGTATGCAAGCTAACATTTTAATTACATCTCTATAATTTAATATATAAATATGTGTCACATAAAATTCACAAGTTTGTATCACATATAAAATGACTAATCCCTTAGTACATTTAACTCAGTATTATTTTGAATATAGAATTAAGTGAAGTAGTTAATAATTGAATTTAAATATTTTGAGGAAAAAGTTATAGCTTTTCTGTTGAGACTCATTAATAATTCCCTGTTAATCATTATAAGCCTGGCTCAGGTTTATGGGGAAAAGACACACTAGCTTCGATATAGGGAATGAAGTGCAATGAGATAAATAAAAATGTAGATGAGTAAAAGACAATATCTAAAAGAGTAAACATCTAGGATGATCTTGATTTTTGTTTTTAATTACAGGTTGATTCTTAAAATGCTAACAGTTCATAATGCCAGTGTCAACCTGACAACAGTTGGATTGAAGGCCTTAGATCTTCTCCTAACTTCAGGTAGTATATACGCACATATTTTTAATGTTGACACAAGTTAAAAAATAATTTAAACCACTTACTAAATGTATTTTAATTTTTTAAAAATATAATATCCTAACCTCAATATTGATGATTTCCAAAATTCTGTGTATCCATTTTCCTTTTCTCTCCTTATCTCTTTTCTCTAAACTTTTTCTCTCAAAAATACCACCCAGTGTATTGGCCTTAAACATCACCTTGTATATTATTCCCAAATTTAATTTCTGTCTTCAGCTTTGCTCCTCCGATCTGGTCCCACATCTCATATTCCCATTAGTTTGTTAGCCATACATGTCCTGTCATGAGTATTTGTTCTCCATTATATCTCTAATGTGTTTTCTAGAAAACATGTTCTAGAGTATGACATAATAGTAATATGTCATAATAAAAATATATAGCCTTTCTTCTTTTGTGCTTGCTAAATGCTAGGTTTAACATGTAAAATACTTCATATGCTTTTATAAGCATAATCCTCAAAACATCCCTTGAGTGAACCCTGAAACCAGAGAGATTGCCTCAGCAAGAAGCAGTAGAAACAGGTTCTTATTTCACGTGTCAGGTTCTTTCCATGAGTAAACGTCTGCTTGAAGGATAATGGACCTGGAAACAAAGAGTGTTGCTGTGGTGCAATCGTTGTGATCATTGCCGTGCTGGACACTTGCTATGATGTGAGATTCTAAGAAGAAAGACTGCTTACAGGGAAGCTAATCAGAAAGGATAGGGAGGCTTTCCTTCAATGTGTGAAGGGTACTCTAGGTCAAGAGAACAGCATGTGCAGCATTGCAGAGGTCTAGGAGGAGAGCATGAGAGGAGCTGGATGTGTGGGTGGTAAGATTGTAAATGCTTTCATAATCCCTGCCAAGTGATCCAGGGCCATTAGGAGAAAGAGAAAGGAAGACAGAGGGAGAAGATCAGAGAATGAAAGAAGAGGGATAGGAAAGGCCTGAAGGTCCTCACCACTTCGCCAGAGCCTTTTATTAAAATATGTAATAGAATGTGCTAACTAGTCTTGACGGTTTAGTTGCTAAGTCGTGTCTGACTCTTGTGACCCCATGGACTGTAGCTCACGAGGCACCTGTGTCTATGGGATTCTCCAGGCAAGAATAGTGGAGTGGTTTGTCCTTTATTCCTCCAAACTAGTCTTAATCGTGATTTATTTTAAACTCATCCTTGGGAGTCTTTTTTGGGAGTATGTGAAGGTTTATTCTCCATTTGGCAGTGGACAGGTGGTTTATGAATTTGAAAAATCTCCCAATATGAATATGTTGAGATTAGCAGCATGCAGACAGTTAGGAAATTTGATATGTTTTGCAAAAAACTAGTTAATTTCTTCTATATAACATTGAGAATTTTGAGTTTTTAGGAAAGTTTGTAATGTGTTTTAGAGTTCATTTCAGATACTTTATTAAAGGCTAATTTGTGAACCACTGTTTGTTTGGCTTATTTGTTAACTGATGTGATAGTTATTGGGCACTTACTGCTACGCTGGCTACTAGAGAACTCTCAGACAGCTGAGGTAGAGTTCCTGCAATGAAGAAGTTCACAGTCCAGCACCGTTGTCTAATATAACTTTCTGCAATAAAGGAAATACTGTACATGTTTAAATTCATGGCTTGTAGCCATATTTGGTGGTTGAACATGGGGAATGTGAGGAGCTAAATTTTAATTTTATTTAGTTTTACTTAATTTAAATTTGAGTTTAAGTAGCCTCATGTGACCACAGAATTCAACAGCCCAATGCTTTAAAAAGCATTTAAAGAGATAATTTCAGTTTAATGAGAAAAGTACCATGACAGAGATAGGAAGAAAACCACCATAGGAACACAGAGAGAAGCTGGGCTTATTTAAGGGCATGTCCATGACCTGTCTAAATTTTAATCCAGCTCTGACTCTTGTTTGTTCTACTTTGGGCAGAGTTACTGGGTCACTTCTGTGGCTGTTTTCTCATCTCTGATATGAGGATTGCCCTTACCTTGTGGGGCTGTGGTGGTTTACACATGTTTGAGTGAACTGTCAATACTTCAACCTATGTCTGATACGCTATGTGCTGTACACGTGTATGCTATGACTACCCCCCTACAGTTTTTCTTGACCAAATAGGTACTGTTTATGTTATGCCTTGAAATTAAGGTAGCATTATATTTGGGGTAGAAAAGGGCAAGGGCATTCCACTCAGCTAGTGTGAATGCAAAAATTTATATCAAAAGAAATGTGTTTGTGATGAGCAGAGAGCTTAGCGTGTTTGGAGTCAGTAGTGCAGGGAGGGACGTGAGGCTGATGAGATACATGTAATCTGTGAAGAGTCTCGTTTGTCAGACTGAGGAGTATGAGAATGTCTTAGGAGACTTCAAAGGGAATTATAGATCACATGTGTGTTTTAGAAATATAGTGCAGGGGATCAACTAGTTAGGTAGGAGTTTGCACCAAGCAGAGCAGTTAAGCAATTGTGTTTGCATTCTAGGTGAGAGGTGATGGGGTCCAGAACAAAATAGAAATGGAGGGGCCTAGTTCAAGAGGAATTTTTGAAATATTTAGAGGTTAAACTTGAAGGACTTAGTATGAGTTGATTCTTTGGTTGGGCAGAGAATGAGAAGAGAGAGGGAGAATGAAAGAAGGAAGATGACTTAAGTTTCTCTGGTAACTATTGGATCCAAGGTGGTATCATTGATGAAGAGACACAGTTGGAGTAGGTGAGGTTTGGGGTGGCCATGGAGCATTCAGATGATGTTGTCTAAGAGGCAGAAATATTTCAGGAGTTTGGGGCAAGAGGTCTTGGTAATGGTCATTTATTGGGAATCATAAGTTATAGGAAAGTGTACTGGGGATTTATCTCATTTAGAAAGACCATAGAACTTGATAGGGCTAACAGCTGGGGCAACTAAGTGGTTCATCAAAAAGAGAAGTTCACTAACCATCATAGCCCTCATGTAAAAATTAAGACATTAAATGTTAAAGCAGCTATTTACTTGGAGCTTGTTGTTCTCTTCAAAATAGGTAAAATCACTTTGCTGATATTGGATGAAGAAAATGATATTTTCTTGTTAATCTTCGATGCCATGCGCACATTTTCAGCCAGTGATGAAGTCCAGAAACTTGGATGTAAAGTTTTACATGTGCTGTTTGAGAGAGGTATTTAAAAATGTCAAACTCTTTATTTTGATATTTATATAAGAAAAAAGGGTTTATAAGGGTTTATAGTAGGAGAAGTAGGATTAAATATCATGATAAGAAGATATTTAAAACTGTACTATTTACTAAAATTTAAATTGTCAGTCAAGGGTAGGTAATGGAGTTAATTCAGAAACATTGCTTGTTTTTTACAGAATAAATTGCATTCATGGATTATAAATTATGCAATTGTAGTAAACTTTCTTCCATTGCTTCACAAGGCATAGGTTCACTTTGTAAACTGGATGTGTAGGAGTTAAAAAAGAAAAAAGTGAAACGATGGAGTCAAGCACAACTTAAATTTGGGTTTATGATGTTGAGTCATCACCAGAGATTTTAGAAATTGCTCAAGGCTCTGGATAAAGAACAGAAAGTTTACAAAGTGTCCCTTAGGACTAAGACTAATATGTATTTTATCACATAACACTGAGATTGATGACAGAGATAACCATGTAATTTTATAGTTAGTTGGAACCTTTGGTTCTTCCACTGGCTTGACGAAATGGATCAGAGAAGTGAAATGAGTAACCTGCCTGAGGGCACACAGCTAGTTATCTCCATTACAGTTCAGTTGACTAAGTTTTTTGAGAGCACCTTTTGTGTCATTGTGAGAGCCAACAATGGTAGGGGTTTAGAATAAGAACCTCAGTGGGTCCTGTGTCCATACCAGTTTACCTATTCCAGTTTCTGGTAGCTCCAGGAATGGAGTAGATCACCTTATACTGTTTAATTTCCTGCCTTATTCCAAAAGAAATTCAAATAGTTTATAGATATTTATAATACATTAGAGGGAAAAAAATGAATGAGGAAATGGGTGAGGGGAAAATATGATGCTAGGTTAAATTTATTGCTTACTTCAGATCCTGTATCTTTGCAGAGAGATGGACCAGAAATTTGGTCCTTTGATTTCTATCAGGCAAAGAAAAGAGGCATAAACATCATTGATTACAAAGTTACTTGAAATAAAAGTAAACCCATTAATCAGAAGAAGCAATCATGGGAGACTTGGAGAAAATCCTCCTTGAGTCTGCCTGGATGAGGTGATAAAATGCACACATTCTGTAAGGAACACAAAGTGTCATTTCAGTGAAAGAGACTATCAAAGGGCACAGCTTGGGCCTGGGCCTCAGCTCTCTGGTGAAGGGGCTTGGTGGAGGAGAGGAATGGAGGAGGTGCATGTCTCTCAGGCTATCTTCTCTAAATGTTACATCTGGCAACTAAGCTTTTGATAAGAATTGGGCAGAATTGAGTTTGAGGAGTTATTGTCTTGAGAGCTTGTAATCTTCTGTGCTGCAGTTTAAGGGCACATCGGTATTCAGGAAAGAAGGGTTAACATAACTCTCACCAGCATTGTGGGATCCAGGACCTGTGAAGAGGCACCAAGGAATGTTGAAAAGGAGATCTCACTGTGATAGAAAGATCAACGCTAACAATATTGTGATTGTAAGTGTAGAGTAGAAACACTTCTGAAGTTTTGAAGAGTATCAGGTTCCCCAGGACTTAGTGACACCGGTAAAGTTAATTTTCAAAATTTAGAACTATGCTCTGGAAACTGTTCCATAAAATGAGAAGATTTGGTGATATTCCACCTTTATTAGAAGAACCCAGTCAATTTCACATTATATTACATGGACTACTGGTATAAAGTTGAACAACAGAAATTAATGTTGATCATGAAGAGTGCTGCATTTTCTAAGATTTATGTCAGTGTTATTTTCAGTCCAGATAAACCAGATTTTCATACATGTTTTTGAGGTTCCCACCCAATAAAATGACTCTAAATGAAGCTCACTGCTTGATCCAAAGACTAATTATGAAAATTAATGAGGACATTTGTTGTTCTCTGATGAAATCAAGACCATTAAGATAGAGTATTTTGAAGTCTCGTTACTTGTCATTTGCTGAAGTTCATCCCTCTTGAACTGATGCATTTAGCTTAGCTGCCCTTCAACAGTGTACCAGTAACCACTCCTTTTTAAGTATTGTTATATGTTCACTTCAATAGGCCATCTTTGTTAGTCATAGATTAGTTTTCTCTAGAATCTTTCAAATGACATTGTAAATAATTTGGTTTTCTGAGAACTAGTCACTACATTTCAAAACATGGAGTAACTAATAGTAACTGATATGGATCAAAACAAAATTATTTTACCTCAATACCTTGTTTTCTTATTATAAAATTCCTAGGAAGGGATATTTGCTAAAGTATAGCCTTTAATTTATGTCTGTTGTGTATACTGTCTTATCATGAATTATCTTGAATATTATATTTTTGAGTAATTAAACTTTTAAATCATGTTTCAGCTCTTTGAGTGTTTTGTCTTTCATTTTTTAGTTTCAGAGGAGCAACTGACTGAATTTGTTGAAAATAAAGATTATATGATATTGCTAAGTGCATTAAAAAATTTTGAAGATGAAGAGGAAATTGTGCTTCATGTACTGCACTGTTTACATTCCTTAGCAATTCCTTGTAAGTAGCCTGCATACATGGTTTCTTTCTTGAACTTGAAAATTGCAATATATGTTCTTTCTGAGTGTGTTTCAAAAATGTCTTTATTGGAGACCTGTAGGTGATAAAGCCATTCTTTGTTTATTCATCTGATTAATTTTTGTTTCTTGATTTAGTACTGCTGCTGGCTCTGGTCTTTGTGCTGGAGAAATAGTAGCAAAAATATAAATATTTCTTGCCTTTTGTACTCCCATAGTACTGTACAAGATACAGATAAGCACAGAAGTGATTACAGAGTATTATAAGGCAAATGTTGGCAGAAGTACCTAGGGTTATGAGAACAAACAGGGAGTGAGGCAAGATCTCTCAGCAGAGTCTTGAATGATGAGGACAGCTTTGTGTGCAGAAAAATGTGAGATGAAATAGAAGTGCAGGCAGTAACCCTGGGGTGGACATCTTAAAGTGTAAAGATCCTAGAGCAAGAAAGCATAGAAAAATCAAGATGATAAAAGTAGCTCAGTAAACTATATTTGCAAGTGTGTGGATGCATGTGTGTGTGAAATGCACATGTAGAGAGCTGAGCATCTACTTGTATGCTGATTAATGGAGGTGAGATAAGGGCTTGATAAGAATTAGTGGATGAGGCTGGAGACATAATCAGATGCTAAAAGGCCTGAAAAGCCACAGGAAGGAGTTTGAACTTTATTTCTTGATTCTTGGTTAGCATTTTGGTGATGCTTTGAAATCTAGCCACTTTTATAATAAAAAAAGTACAAAAAATTAATATGCTGTGTATGCCATCAGTGAATGCATCTATTACTTCAGATTTCAATTCCTTCTGTTTTATAAGCACACTTGAGCATTTTGTATTTCATTTATTACCTATTTGGGCTTGTACAGGATTTACACGTGCATTTATGGGGTAATAATTTCATCTTCACATGTGTAAAGTTGTGAGGATTAGATCACTTAAATAATGTTAAAAATGTAGAGTAGTACCTGGTAATGTAATATAATGCTACTGCTAAGTCACTTCAGTCGTGTCCGACACTGTGCGACCCCATCCCTGGGATTCTCCAGGCAAGAACACTGGAGTGGGTTGCCGTTTCCTNTCCAGCTCTGGCTGTCGCTTGCCTGCCTGTCTGCCTCCAGCTGGTGGGGGTGGGTCGGGGGGGAGAGGGGAATCCCGTGCCTCCCTGTTCAGCCCCCCGCTCACTGCTGGCGGATGTGAGCATCTGGGCTATTTCTCCACTGGGGGTTGCGGTTAGGCACGTAATCTGTGGATTTTTTTTATTTCCTCGTGGTTATGTTTCCCTCTGAGAGTCCAAAACTCTACACAGACACGCCAGTGAGAGGGTTTCCTGGTGTTTGGAAACTTCTCCTCCTTCACGACTCCCTCCCCTGGACGGGTCTCCATCCCTAACTCTTTGGCTCTCTTTTTATCTTTTATATTTTGTCCTACCTCCTTTCGAAGAGAATGGGCTGCCTTTCTGGGTGCCTGGTGTCTGATGCCAGCATTCAGAAGTTGTTTTATGGAATTTGCTTAGCCTTCAAATGATCTTTCAATGAATTTGTGGGGGGAAAGTGGTCTCCCCATTCTATTCCTCTGCCATCTTACGACCACCCCCGGAAAATGGAATTTAAACTTCTCTGAGTCATGTACTGCCAACAAACTGAATATGTTTTTCATTTTGCCTTTCCTTGGCTATGCATTTATTTGTTTTGTACTGGCTCTTTTGAAATTCATTTTTTCCTACCCACATTGACATATCCTCACTGTAAATGTGCTGATTCATAATGGAAAGGTCAAAGAAAGTGGCAACTAAAATACAAAAGCAAGTGTTTTAGACTTTACCTTTGAATCTAGAGCAAATCATATCTGTGGTACTGAGTATAAGCAGGTAATTGTTTTAAGATGCCATTTTCTTTAATTACAACATCTTTTTCCATACTTAGTGTTTTTTAAAATACAATTTAAGCATTAAAAATGTATTTTTTAGGAAGAAAAGTTTGTGCCAAAAAAGGAAGAAATTTGTTTTGCATACCTTTTTCCTCTCTGTTTTAAGAATAGTACACATTTAATTGAGACATATAAATTAATTTTCTCCCCATGGGTTCATATACTCTCTCTATTGATTAGTTGCCTTTTCCAGTGAATTCTTTCCTTCCCTGTGGTTCATTTATGTTTATCTCTTAGTCATATATTTTAATATTCTGCCTCTTCTCTCCCCTTCATCCATTCTTTTCCCTGTCTTGGCAGAGCCTTCAGGAAGCTTGGTTTTGTGACTTTTACACTGGCTATTCTTCTGCTGCCCTTCTGGAATGAATAGGAATAGATCATGGCTGATTCTAGCTCTTCTGTTATGTGATATAATCTTGCTTTTCTTTCTAATGGTTTGAGAAAAAGGAAAAATTAAAATCTACTATCCAATGGAATACTGCCTCATTAGGAAACAGGCCCCAAATTCATTTATTTGAAAACTAACGGCCAGGACTTTACATATTTTGACTTACATAAAAGCATTTTCAGATTTCCCCATTTGTTTACATTTTTAAGCCAAGATACAGGAATAAAGCAACTTTCCCTTAGTCCTAGAGATGAGTTCTAAAGTCTGCTACATTAACAATGAACAGCATAGTATTTTTATAGCTATTTGACAGAAAATGACATTTAAATTTGGTATTGTAGCCATTATACTGCCATGTATTTAAAATCTCTGTGAGATGTTTTTGTATGCATATTTCAATGGGGAAAATTATTGCCTTATTGATAATTATAATTTCTTTAAATTTAGGTAGTAATGTTGAAGTCCTCATGAGTGGCAATGTCAGGTGTTATAATATTGTGGTAGAAGCCATGAAAGCATTCCCTATCAGTGAAAAAATTCAAGAAGTGAGTTGCTGCTTGCTCCATAGGCTTACATTAGGTAAGTTACAACTCTTGGCTAATTTTTTATCACAGTATATATGATGTAAGTGTATATAGCATACATATGTTGTATGTTGATGCATAGGTAGCTGATCAACATACAGTTGATGGAAATATTGTAAAGTAGCAAACTGTCATGCCATGCTTAGGTGGAATTTTAAAAGGAGTGGCAAAAATAAATGTGTGCAATATTACAAGTGTTATCTTATTGTTAATGCTATATTTGAAGTATTATTATGTAAATATTTATTGCATGCAAAAGAATAAACATAACATACAGAAAATGTGAAGTGCATTGCAAAAGAACTCCTCATCAAACTTAAGTATTAGTGCTTTACCAGTGCTGATAAAGCTACTCTGGGCTCTGCCCTTCTTCCATTTTCTCTATAGAGGTGAGCACTCTCCAGAGTTTTGTGTTAATAAGCCTTTTGCTCTAAATTAAATTTTATTGTGTTTATATATCTCTGTAAATAAAATTGTTAATGTTTGCTTGTCATTGCTTAATAAAAATGGTGTCATGCTGAATGTTGTCTTCTGCAAGTTTTTAAAAACTGTGTTTATGAGACTGATGAATATGTTGTATATGGCTGTATGTGCGAGCAGTGTGTGTGCTCAGTCGTGTCTGACTCTTTGTGACCCCATGAACCATAGCCTGCCAGGCTCCTCTGTCCATGGGATTATCCAGGAAAGAATACTGGAGTGGGTTGTCATTTCCTCCTCCCGGGGATCTTCCTGACCCAAGGATGGAACATGCATCTCCTGAATTGGCAGGCAATTTCTTTACCATTGACCCACCTGGGAAGTGTGGCATTGTTGTATGTAGTATTCTGTTATGTGGGCATACCACTATATATTTATCCATTCTCTTATCCATGGACATCAGTTTATTTCTTGTTTTGTGCTACTACCATCTATATTGCTATGAAAATTGTAAAGGAAGTTGAATAGCTTTTCAAATATTTCTTTGCTCTTGGTGCTTTCTTTTTTTGTGGAATACTTGATTTACCTTTTTCTGTTTTTCTATAGTATATTCTGTCTTTTAAAAAAGTGATTCATAGTTCTGGCTAATAATGTTTTGGTGGTCAGCTTTATGTATTGAAAATGTCGAGCTGTCTTTTTATCTTTTTATGGCAGCTTTTGTAACATAATGTATTTTCACCTGAATTGTCTAAAAATAAGACAAGGCCACTGGTATTTGCTCAGAGTCACAAAGTTGGTCAGTGGTAGAGCAGCTGTTGGCAGTGACTTAGAAATAATAGTAGGGAAAAGAGGGTGAGACAACTGAAGTTTAGATAAGCCAATAAAAGTAGAAAAGAATCTTTTTTGAAATGACTTTCCAAAACTAGAGACTAAGGGCTGGGGATTATGTCATCTTAATGGATGAATGTGGAAGAGGTATGAACATAGAAAGATGCTGATACAGAAGAATTGCACCAGTTAATCTGCTTTTTGATTTTGAAACTTTGATTAATAATTAGTGTGGGCTTTAAGCTTTTAAAGATATAGGATCTTTTCCAATTCTGGCTGTGTATCTTAGGGATTATCTAATCACACATATAGCTAACTAGAAGTTTCATTCTTATTCCTATGAGGGAATGTGGTAATTGTTAGTGAGTTATAGTAAAAGCATTTAATGACAAGGGAGGTTTTTTTTCTTATCTTTTAGAAGACAGGAAAATTAAGCTGTTTCGTACACTGAATATTATAGTGCCATGTAAAAGAATATTTATTTATTTGACTGTGTTGGGTCTTAGTTGTGGCCCGCGGGATCTTCACTGAATCATGAGGCATTTTTCATTGTGGTGCATAGACTCTAGTTGTGGCACATGGGTTCAGTAGTGTGGTTCTCCGGTTCAGTTGCTCTGTGTCATATGAGACCTTAGTGCCCCAACCTGGAATCAAACCCTTTCCCACACTGCAAGGCAGATTCTCAACCACTGGACCACCAGGGAAGTCTCCACCTCGTGGTTTTTTATGATGATGACAAGAGGGGGACTTCCCTGGTGGTTCTGTGGTAGAGAATTCACTTGCTAATGCAGGAGACCTGGGTTCTATCCCTGGGTTGGAAAGATCCCCAGGAGAAGGAAATGGCAACCCACTGCAGTATTATCATGTGGGAAATCCCTTGGACAGGAGCCTGGTGGGCTACTGTCCATGGGGTTGCAAAAGAGTCGGACAAGACTTTGTGAATAAACAACAGCAACAAGACATGAGAGGGGATCAAAGAACACAAGTTAATATAACTCAAACATACAATTGTTTTTGGCCCAGTCATTTCTGTTGTCTAAGCAAGATAGTTGAATGAGTGCATGAAATGTTTTTAGTTCTCTATGCAATCACTAAGTGATTTTAATTACAGTAAATATGTTTTAATGTAATTAAGAATAGTTATCACTACTCAAATATGTTGATTTAAATACTGTTACATAAGTAAAGGTAATATAAGTTCCATGGATGAGAATTCTGCTAATATGTCATTTAACTTTTAGGTAATTTCTTTAATATCTTGGTATTAAATGAGGTGCATGAGTTTGTGGTGAAAGCGGTGCAGCAGTATTCAGAAAACGCAGTATTACAGATCGCAGCACTTAGCTGCTTAGCACTCCTCAGTAAGTAACTTTACTAACAAGGAAATCCTTTCAGGTGCATTTGACCTTGAATGTTGACATTATAACAGGAAAGTTATATATGGAGAAGGAACCCTTAAATGCTTTTTCTTTTCCTAATGTGATAACATTTTCTCATAGAGGATACTTTCAAGGGAATGAAAGTTGTGATAAATATCCCAGATCAGATATCAGTGAATATATCCTTGATTTAGCTTTATTAGTAGCAGTTCATTTTGTTAGTTAATTTTCCTCTAGCCTATTAGTTTTGTTTGGTACCCTCTCCCCCATCTGATTTACCTACATGGAATAGCAATATGATAAAGTGTGTAATATAAATTAAAGAGATCTTTTAGTTAACCAGTACTCTGTCGATAATGTTTGAAAATAATGGCCTTAAGAGTTGGTCACTCAAAGTATACATAAGTTATATGTTTACTTTTTTCCAAAGCTGAGACCATTTTCTTAAACCAAGACTTAGAGGAAAAGAATGAGAATCAGGAGAATGATGATGATGAAGAAGAAGATAAATTGTTTTGGCTGGAAGCCTGTTACAAAGCATTAACTTGGCATAGGAAGAACAAGCATGTGCAGGTTTGACTCTGTCATAAATTTTATAGTCCTTCAAAATTGTTTGTTCAATAGTTTATTTTTTGACAGGTTTCTTTTCTTCCTTCCCAAATCCAGGAGGCTGCCTGTTGGGCCCTGAATAATCTCCTTATGTATCAAAACAGTTTACATGAGAAGATTGGAGATGAAGATGGCCAGTTAGTAGTTTTGATTTTATATGATAGAAAATTTTAGTCATATTTTTAATCAATTCACTGAAATTTTTGTTTGAAATATTTTTGATATAAGTATTTATATTAAGTATTGCCGTAAAATACTTGTGGATATATAGTATTTTGATGCCTGTTGTCTTCAATAGTTAGTAAAACTCTCTTTGTGTGAAAGTTATTACTGAGAAATTTAGAATCAAGAGTCATTCAGTAAGTTATGAATCATCAAGAAAGAACCTTTCAGTTTTCTGGCTAATAATTTAAAAGTACTATTCTCACCTGACAGAAATCACAGAGCCATCTGTGACCTTTTCTATTGTGGTTACTAGCCTGGAGGTTGTCAATATCAGTAATTAGACATGGTTAGAAGCCTCCTCTAGTGACTCCCCACTTTATGTGGTGGTGTTAACCTGTCTTCTCTTGAGAGGGTTATTTGTATAACTGTCAGCTCTTGAGGATGCTTTCTATGGGAGCTCCATTTAAACATCATAAGACCAGACAAAGATGCACATTGTAATCAGGAGTTCTATACGTCTGATTTGTTTCATGTCCATGAACAATGTTTGTACTGTTGGCTCTGCATATCCTCTCAATTTTAAATTTTGAATGACTTACCTTGGAAGTTTAAATAGTAATATTCTGCACCTCATGTTCTGACAGCCTGTTTCCATAGTGAAGTGAAGTGAAAGGCTCTCAGTCGTGTCCAACTCTTTGTGACCCCCTGGACTATAGAGCCCATGGAATTCTCAAGGCTAGAATACTGGAGTGGGTAGCCTTTCCCTTCTCCAGGGAATCTTCCCAACTCAGGGATCAAACCCAGGTCTCCCACATTGCAGGTGGATTCTTTACCAGCTGAGCCACAAGGGAAGCCCAAGAATACTGGAGTGGGCAGTCTATCCCTTCTCCAGGGGTCTTCCTGATCTAGGAATCAAACCAGGGTCTCCTGCATTGCAGGTGGATTCTTTTCCAACTGAGCTATCAGGGAAGCCCTTGTTTCCATAGTGATCTACTGCCAATTAGAAGGCAGTAAATGACAGATTCTATTTATTTAAATGTCTCTAGTTTGAATGGAAACTAATCTGCTTTGAGCAATATCTTAAGGAAGTTAGGATAAGGTTGGTTTATGCTGCAATTTATAAAAATTTCAATTCATAGATACTAATCCCTTAAAATTCACAGGAGACTGCTAAAATAAATACATCTTTAAAATATATTTATGCTCTAAATTAAAAATTTTCACTCTACTTCTTTATGAATCCTAATTTTTCCTTTTTGCTTACATCATCTCCTTTTTCTCACCTAATCTTTTTACTCTTAGCACCTATTTATATATCTACTGAGTTTCTTCTATTTTCTCCTTCTACTGTTTATCTAATTTGAAGAAACAGAAATACTACTTTATTAGTAGTATATAATGTAATGTAAATAGAACACTATATATATATCTATATAATGTAAATAGAACACTGCTTAACTGTAATTCTCTCCTGTGAGTAGAGGTGGCATAAAATACTGTTTATCTGCCCTTATTGGTTGTTAGATTAGATAACAGTAAGTGAATATTTGAGTTAATTATTAAAGAGATTACTATTAATGTTGTGGTTGAATTTGTGAAAGGTTCCCTGCTCACAGGGAGGTGATGCTGTCCATGCTGATGCATTCTTCATCAAAAGAAGTCTTCCAGGCATCTGCAAATGCTTTGTCAACTCTGTTAGAACAAAATGGTAAGAGGTACACCATATTTTTTAGTATAATGAAGCATGTTTGTTTTTATATATAACTTTAAAAATTATAAAAGTGATAATTGTAAAAAACTTCAAATATATAAATATATATATCTGATATATAGATATATTGACAAATAGGTAAAAAGATAAAGATGAAAATAACATTTTGATGTATGTCTTCTGGATTTCTGTGTATGTACTTCAACACTTGACATATACAATACATTTTATGTTTTTTGGAGAAATGGGATCCTATTATAGTCTTTTATAACCAAATTTTACATTTCTTTTTTTATGTGGCTAAATATAAATTCCCACATTACCATGTTTGATGGTTGTGTAGTTTCCCAGTGTATACCTATGTCCTCATTTTTGATCCAATTTCTTATGGATGAACTTTTAGCTTGTGTTCAGTGGTACTGTTTTGAATATTTGTAACAGTGGCCAAATGGTCACTTTTCCACCCCAGTTTCCCTTATACACTGTTCCTGTGTTTTTTTCTTGGGAATGCAGTGGATGGAGAGAGATTCACCATTATAAAATATTCTAAAATTATCCATTATAAAAATAAAAAAAAACAGTCTTTTACATGTAAATCTTACAGCTTTCCATTATTTAGGAGAGAAAAATAGCTGTTATACCTTTGGAAGAACTCTTGAGGTTTAGAATTGAGTCTCAGGCTGCTCTTATTAGGGCTCAACCCTAATAAATAGGAAATACGGCCAGAAAGTCTTGGGAGAAAACTAATCATAAAAGCATTAGGACTTGGCAGCTCTTGAAGGATATTCTTGAAGGGAGAAAAATACAGAAAAACACTGAAAGCTTGAAAAAAAAGACCAGTGTTAGCATCAACTTTTAGTAGAGAACCCGAGTAGAGTGAATAAAGCCTCCTCATATGTGTTTCCCTACATGATTATTTAATTCAGATCAAGAGGAAAATCACTTCTTTGTTTTCTTTCTTTCTCACTTCACCTCTGAAGGCACTGAAAAACCATCATAAAAGGCTTGGGCTGGCCAAGCCCTGAGAGATTGATCGGGGTTGCTCTCAAAGGATGAGTCAGTGGAAGTGGCAGAAAGGGGAGCTGCTCTTCTTGAGTCTCCCTTCTTCTGCTGTGCGGAGGCCTGGGTTGGGGGGCGCGTCTCACTCTTTAAAATGAACACTGGACTTTGCTGCTTTTGTTGAGGCATCTTAGAGAGGAGACAGCCCGAGAAGGCAGTGGCACCTCACTCCAGTACTCTTGCCTGGAAAATCCCATGGACGGAGGAGCCTGGTAGGCTGCAGTCCGTGGGGTCGCGAAGAGTGGGGCATGACTAAGTGACTTCACTTTCACTTTTCACTTTCATGCATTGGAGAAGGAGATGGCAACCCACTCCAGTGTTCTTGCCTGGAGAATCCCAGGGACGGGGAGCCTGGTGGGCTGCAGTCTTTGGGGTCGCACAGAGTCGGACACGACTGAAGGGACTTAGCAGCAGCAGCATCAGTCCCATTATTCATTTTTGCTTTTCATTCCCTTGCCTGAGGAGACAGACTGAAAAAAAATATTGCTAAGATCATTGTCAAAGAGCATACTGCTTCTTTTATTTTTGGAGTTTTATGGTTTCAGGTTTTCACTTAATTATTTAATCTGTTTTGAGTTTATTTTTGTATATCATGTGAAAAGAACTCTAGTTCGATTCTTTTGTATGTAATTGTGCAGTTTTCTTAACACCATTTATGGAATAAGCTGTCTTCCCCATCATATATTTTTGCATACTTTGTTGGAGATTAAATGAACATCTGAGTTTTCATTTCTGGGCTCTCTAGTTTGTTCCATTGATTTATGTTTCTGTTTTTTTTTGTTTTTTTCTTTTGCCAGTATAATATTGTATTGATTCCTATAACTTTCCAGTATAGTTTGAAATCAGGGCTCATGATACCTTCAGTTTTTTCTTTTTCAAGATTTTGGCTATTTGTGGTATTTTGTGTTTTCATACACATTTTAGAATGGTTTGTTCTCGTTCTGTGAAAAATGCCATTGATGTTTTGATAGCGATTGCATTGAATCTGTAGATTGCCTGGGATAATTTGGTTGTTTTAGCAGTATTAAATCTTCCAATTCATGAACACAGTATAGCTTTTCATTTCTTTGTGTCTTCATTTTCTTTCACCAGTGCCTATAGTTTTTTGAGTATAGGTCTTTTACATCCTTAGTTAGATTTATTCTTTCCAATACAGTTGTATATGGGATTGTTGTCTTAATTTTCTTTTCTGACTGTTCATTCTTAGTATACAGAAACATACATATTTCTGTATATTAACTTTGCACCTGCAACTTTACTGAGTTCATTTATTAGTTCTAGTATTTTTGGTGGAATCTTTAGAATTTTCTTTGTATATATTATGTCATCTGCAAACAGTGACAGTCCTCTCCCATTTTGATTCCCTGTATTTCTATCTTTTGTGGCTGGTACTTTTTAATACTGTGTTGAATAGAAATGAGTGAGTGAGCATCCTTGTCTTTTTCCTGATCTTAGAGGAAATGTTTTCAGCTTTCCTGATTGAGTATGATATTGGCTATAGGTTTTTCATATAAGGCCTTTATTATTTTGAGATAGCCTCCCTCTGAACTAATTTTGTTCAGAGTTTTTATCATAAATTGATACTAAATTTTGTCAAAACTTGTTTTTGCCTCTTGGTATCATCATATGCTATTTTCCTTCTTCAGTTTGTTAGTGTGGTGTATCCCATTGACTGATTTGTGAGTATTGAGACATCTTTGCATCCCAGGGATGAATCATGTTGTATGATTCCTTTAATGTATTGTTGAATTCAGTTTGCTAATATTTTGCTGAGGATTTCTGTATCTATACTAATCAGTGATATTGGCCTGTAATTTTCTTTTTTTCTGTGTGATATCTTTAGTTTTGGTGTCAGGGTGATGCTGACCTTGTAGAATGGGTTTGGAAGCATTCCTTTCCCTTCAGTTTTTAGAATAGTTTGAGAAGTAGGGTCATTTACTATTCTTTAAGTGTTTGGTAGAATTCATCTTTGAAGCTCTCTGGTGCTGGACTTTTGTTTGTTGAAAGTATTTTTTTTCCTTTGTTTACTTTTTTTTTTTTGGTTGTTGTTTATTTACTGATTCAGTTTCATTACTGGTAATCAGTCTGTTTGTATTTTCTATTTCTTTCTGCTTCAGTCTTGGGAGATTGTATATTTTGAGGAATTTGTCCTTTTCTTCTAGGTTGTCCATTTTATAGTCATGTAATTGTAGTGATCTCTTATGATTCTTTATACTTCTGTGGCTTTGATTGTGATTTATTGTTTATTTTTAACTGGTGGATAATTGCTTTACAATGTTGTACTGGCTTCTGCTATGCCGTAGCGTGAGTCAGCTCTGAGTATACATATATCCCCTCCATGAGCCTCCTCTCACCGCCCACCCCACCCCTCTAGGTTATCACAGAGCACCACGCTGAGCTCCCTGTGTTTATAACAGCTTCCCACTAGGATCTGTTTTGCACATAGTAGTGTATATATGTCAATGCTACTTTTTCAGTTTGTTCCCTCACCTTTCTTTCCATGTCCACAAGTTTGTTCTCTACAGCTCCATGTCTATTCCTGCTCTGCAGATAGGTTCATCAATAATGTTTTTATAGATTCCATATATATGTGATAATATATATTTGTTTTACTCTTTCTGACTTACTTCACTCTGTAAAACAGGTTCTGGGTTCATCCACCTCAATACAACTGAGTCAAATTCATTCCTTTTTATGGCTGAGTAATATTCCATTGTATATATGTGCCATATCTTCTTTATCCATTCATCTAGGCTGCTTCCATGTCCTGGCTATTATAAGTAGTGCGGCTGTGAACCTTGGGGTACATGTGTCTTTTTGAATTAATGGTTTTTCTCAGAGTATATGCCCAGTAGTGGGATTGCTGCATCATATAGTAGTTTCAATCCTAGTTTCTTAAGGAATCTCTATTCTGTTTTCCATAGTGGCTGTATCAATTTACATTTTCACCAACAGTGTAAGAGGGTTCCCTTTTCTCCATATCCTCTCCAGAATTTGTTGTTTGTAGACTTTTTGATGATAGCCCTTCTGCCTAGTGTGAGGTGATACCTCATTGTAGTTTTGATTTTTCTAATAATGAATGATGTTGAGCATCATTTCCTGTGTTTGTTGGCCATCTATATGTCTTCTTTGAAGAAGTATCTGTTTAGGTCTTCAGCCCATTTTTTAATTGGGTGGTTTGTTTTTTCTGATATTGAGCTGCATGAGCTCCTTGCATATTTTGGACATTATCCTGTGTCAGTTGGTTCATTTGCAGTTATTTTCTCCCATTTTGAAGGTTGTCTTTTTGTGTTGTGCATAGTCTCCTTTGCTGTGCAAAAACCTTTAAAAGTAATTAGGTCCTGTATTGATTTGGGCCCAGGTCCTCCCTGTCTCTTTCTTTTTTTATTGGATGTGTCTGTTTATTGGTTTACCAATTTAGTTTATATTTTTAGAGGACCAGCTCTAAGTTTCACTAATATTTTCTATTGATTTTTAGTCTCTTTTTAGTTTATTTCTTCTCTGATCTTTGTGATTTATTTCCCTGTACTAATTTTAGATTTAGCTTGTTCTTCTTTCTCTCATTCCTTTATGTATAAGGTTAGGTTGGTTGTTTGAGATTGTTGTTTCCTAGATATGCTTGTATTGCTATATAGTTCCTTCTTAGAACTACTTCTGCTGCATCCTATAGAATTTTTTTGTTTGTTTGTTTCTGCTGCATCCCATAGAATTTGTTCTTTTGTTTGTTTTGTTTATGTGTGACTGCTTAGTTGCTCGGCTGTGTCCGAGTCTTTGCGGCCCCATGGACTGTAGCCTGCCAGGCTCCTCTGTCCATGGGGTTTTCCAGGCAAGAATACTGGAGTGGGTTGCCATTTCCTTCTCCAGGGAATTTTCCCAACCTGAGGATCAAGCCTTCATCTCTTGTATCTCCCACATTGACAGGCATATTCTTTACCACT